TGGCGCCTCGGGTCCACGGGGTCTTCTGCGCTCCTCCCCCGCCCACCTGTCTCTCCTCATCCCCCTCCCCCTCCTTGCCCATCGCCGCGCCCCTGCCCCCGCCCCTTCTTCCTTTCGCAGCGGGCGCAAAGGGGCGCGCAGGGGCGCCGCAGACAGGCAGACACGGTTTCTTCTTGCTTGCCTGGCGGCAGCACCCGCGGGCCCCCTGCCGCGTTCGCCGGAAAGGAGGCCCCCGGGCCTGGGCACCCAGGTGGCGCAATATCTCCCGAGGAGCATATCGCGCAGAATCGCGCGCCGTCAAAGTGCCTGCATGGGCTTCCTTCGTTGGATCCTGATATCGTTGCAAATTCTTCACGCTTCGCGCATCCCCGCCAGCCCATTCCAGAAAAAGCAACTTGTGCGAAGCATGCAGGCAGTCGTGGCTTTCGGGCGCACCTCCTCCTGCCCACGCACATATCCTTCTACTTCACTGGGTTTTTCGCTCTGGGAGCCTCTCGGAGGCATCTTGGGGGTATCCCAGGACCTGCTTGGGGATATTTTGGATGTCTCTCGGCCCCATTTGGGGTTCCCGTGGTGCCTCTCGGGGCGGGCCAACGGTAGCGGCGAGAGCCCTTCGGACTCTCCCTGGGCTCTGGCCGAGTTTGCGAAGTCAGCTCGCGTGGGCCGAGTGGCTCAGTCTTTTCCGCTGCATCCTCTTCTGTCGAGTTTTCTTCTCCTGAGCTCCTCCTGAGCCCCTCCCCAGATCCTCCTCAGCTCCTCTTCGACTCTTCGACTTTCCCTCGCCCCCCCCCCCCCGCCCGCCCTCAGCTTGTCAGCCGCGCCCTCGTCAGCAATTCCTCAGCCGCGTCCCCCTGCAGTCTGGCTTCAACCAGCCCTCGTCTGCTATTTAATAGTACTAGTACATATATACATACAAGAGATCTCCCGGGCGCGCGCTCTTCGTTTTCGTTTCTTGCGTCGCGCGGCGTTCGTGCGAGTGGCAGCAACTCATCATCAATTCCTCTTGCGCTGCGCCTGGCAGAACCGAGGAGGCCAGGGGTGGGGGTGATCGCAGTTTTGATCTCTGCCGTCCTCAGTCCATAGTTGCTTCGTTTTGCTTTGTCTTGTCCGGGGTGCACGGTCTGGGGCTCGCAGTCTGATTCGTTCCGAGGTTGGTTGTTCCAGGGCCGCGCAGATTTTGGGGGCCGCGCTGCTATTGTTTGGAGCCGTTGATGGTGCGCGCATTTTTTGGGGCCAGAGGTTGATGTCCAAGTCGGGCGTTCACGCTGCAACTGTTCCGGTGCGTGGGGTCGCCGCTGGTGCTGTGCTGGGTCCATGCTTGTGCTGTTGTGGTGTCAGGGCTGTTTGGGGCCCACGCAATATGAGGTGCCCTGATGCCCCCCCCCCGCACTGTCTCTTGCAATGATGGGGCCCCGACGCTGTTTGCAAGCCGCCGCTCAATTCGTAGCCGGTCGATTCAGGCTCGTTGATTCGCAGCGCGCTGAACATCATCTGAGCTGTTACAACTTGCAGCATGTCATCCTCTTCGATGGGCTTCGAGCTGGTGGGGGGCCTTCAACTTGCGGCCGCTCTTCCCGATCCGCCCTTGGGATTCGAGAAGCGCATCGACGTTGATATTCCAGCGGCGTTGTTGCTTGTCGGGGGGGGGGGGGGGGGGGGGGGGATCAGCAAGTTCGCGTTCCTGTGAATGCGCCCGCTGCCGCAGTCGCCGATAAGGAGTGGAGTGGGAAGGTCGAAAGCAGCGTCGAGAGCAGTTCGAAGTATTCCGACCTCGTGGCGTCAGGCAACCCTGATCCCAATGGGCATCCCGACCATGCGCTTCCTGAATTCAGGCCTTTGCGTTTCGATGTGAATTCATGTTTTTTTTCGCGCCCCGCCGCGAAGGGGCCTGCGCCGCAGTCCGGGCCTGTTGTGCCGCAGCTAGAATGCGCTAGGAATGCTAGCGATCAACCTTGTTCGCAGCGAGAGAGCTGCCGGCCTAGGGCAGGCACTCCGCGCGAGGTTGCGCAAGTAGACGACAGCCCTGTCAGGGAGACGTGCGAACGCGTCAGAGGTCTCACCGCTCCCGCGCCGCTGTCGACTGAGGCTGATCTATCTGTCTATATATATATATATAAAGATCTCGCGGGCACGCGCTCTTCGCGCTCGTTTCTTGCGTCGTGCGGCGTTCGTGCGAGCGGCGGCAATTCATTGGCAATTCCCCTTGCGCTGCGCCTGGCAGAACCGAGGCGGGCAGGAATGAGGGTGATAACAGTTTCGAGCCCTGCCGTCCTCAGTCCATAGTTGTTTCGTGTTGCTTTGTCTTGTTCGGGGCGCGCGGTCTGGGGCTCGCAATTTGAGTCGCTCCGAGGTTGGCTTTATGGTCGGCGCTCTCCCACCAGGAGGAGGCCCCCATAAATAATAAAAGAACTCCCAAAGATATCACCGGGGCCCCGTCTTTACATTTTTCAGAAGATATAGCTTTCGAGGTGTTGAAACAAATATCGCCCTCATTTTCGCCCCCCCCTCTTCCCTTATGCACGCGACGTTGTTCTGGGAACATTCAACCACCCCACGCCCCTGATGGGGAAGTTCGGCGTCGCCAACATGTAGGATGAAGTGTTGCAATCGGCCCTAGCCTGTGGAGTACTACATTGCTTTTACCTGCATGAATGTCTCCTCTAAAATGCCTCCAATATGGCTCAACCTCAGCCCGCGAGAGGTAGGCGGCCCCCATATGAACCCTCAAACTTTTAACCTCGGAGGCCCCCACTAAGAAGAGATGCTCATATATAATGAAACATACACACATAGCACGACATTGTCCCGCAATGGAATGTCAGGTGGCTGTAGTTGTTTTTCAGAATTCCTACATGCACTTCAACCGACTGCGCCGCCGAATCCCTCGCTCGAGACATCCCAAAATGCCGACCCAATTCCTCGACGGGGCAGCCGTTGCTAAAGGTTGTTCCAAGACGAACTCATTCCACCGTCACCTTTCCGCAACCATTTGGCTCAAACCAATGTTGCTCCAACCCGTTGTTGTCCAAACAAATTTGGTGGAGGATGGCGGGGGTGCTTCCGCGGCGGAAGCGCGGCCGCCCATCCTCGGTGGATCGGCTCGCCGAAGCTGCCGCGCTGGGCGCCAGGGCCCGCGATGCCGACGACCCGAGCATCGCAGCCGCAGCTGCTCTCGACGCCCGCCGTGGAGAGGTGGCGCCGATGGCGGTGGAGGCGCCCGTGGAGGCCGCTGCGGCCCTGGAGGCTGCGCTTGCGCCCCGCGAGCTGCAGCAGGTCGCAGTGAGCCAGGCGGAGCGCAGCTCGCATGGCCACGCTGTCTCGATCGTCGCCACCAGCGGCGTCGGTTTGGCCCCTGCCGTGTGGAACGTCACAAAACGTTTCTGGGGCACTCTGCCCTCTTGGGCGGCCATGCCGCGAGCTGCGAGGGCAGCCCTAGTCGGCGCAGAGCCGCTGAAAGATCTTGAGAGGCGCCTGGCTGCCGCAGCTGACGCCTTCGAACGGCGTTCGCCCTCTGAGCTGATGGTCATCGGGTCGCCTCGAACGAGAACTCCCTACAACCGCCCTTCGTTCCCTCCTCCTCTTCCTCCTCCCAGCCGCCCAAAAATCCAGACCCGCGGCCCCCGTTCCTTCCCCCCGCTCCCCCCTCCTCCCCGCTTCCTTTCATTCCCTTCCGAACCAACCGCCGAGATGGTGACCTATGCCAAATGCCAAACGCTCACGGAACACATGTTTTTCGCAAGGCACGTCTGCGCAGCGTGCCTGGGGACGTTGCGCCGTTGGTGCTCGTGGAGTCAGTTCGCTTCGTCAGCGCTGATGTCAGCGCGGCAGGCTGCGGACTCGGTCCCCGAAGTGTTCTTGGGCAGCGTTAGCAGCAGGGGGCCTGCTGATATGTTGGGCATCGTGGAACCTGTGCCTGCCGAGCTTTTTCAGACCTTCACGTCTGTGGGGGCCCTGTTCAAGCGAACTGGTGTGCACGTCTGATGTGAATTCGCCACCGCTGGTGCTGCAGCGGACCACTGCCCCCTGCGTCGCAAGAGCCCTGCACATGTCGTCTGTTTGCCCGTGGCGCGCTTGCCACGCGTACCGCCTTCGAGTGCGTGTCATTTGTTCGGACAGGTACGCTGCCCAGTTTTCTGCCGAGGCGTCGCTTGAGTCAGCTTCAGGTGAGTATGTGAAGCTGCATATGGGGTGCGACATCCACAAGGGCGTCACGTCCCAATGTAAGGGCCTCGGGCTTCTTGGCGATTGCATATCTGGGATGGTCCACTGTGCCGCATCACTGCGCCTCGGCGGCTGGATGCGCACCTTTCGCCAAGCGCTGTTGCACGTTGTGATTTCTTCTTTGGATATTCAAGACGCCTTCGGCGAGCCACCCCGCCCCCCTCTGCCTTATGGAACCGCCTGCGTGGCCGACCGTCGCAACCCTAACCCTCATAGCTTGCGCGCGCGGGTGCCATGCGACGTCCTGGAACGCATCGGACACCGCGCTCGGAAGGAAGCGGGGAGATGTTCCAGCTGACGACAACAAAACGTGATGGCGCTACTGGCAATGAGGGAAGGGGGATAGGATGATGATGGCTATTATAAGGAGGAGGAGGAGGAGGAGGGGTGGGGGCATTCATTGCGGGCGCCGGGCGCTGCGGACAAGAAAACATTTCTCCATTGATCCATAATGGGGGCACATCGAAACCGTTTGAGACGAGCGGGGCGCTTTTAAATCACTCCCCAAGGGTTCTGGCCAGTTTTCGGCCACCTTGAACCCCCTAGCTTGCGCTGTTAGCGCTGGGGCGCCACAGCGCGCGGCAATTAGACCAGCAGAGCGTTTAGGACGTGGGGGTGGCGCGCTTCGTGCTCTGCGGGGCATGGCGGATCAAAGTCGGCAAGTGCCGTGGCGACGCCACCAGACACAGGAGGTTGGCATGTTTTGTTTGTGCTGGGACGCCCAGCCGTTGTCGGCTTCTCCGATCAGTTCTGCGTTTCTTGCCGAGCGGCGATTGGAGGCGGCAGGACGCGGTGGAAGTGCATGTGGACGACGAGGCCGCCTTGGAGAGGCGGCGCGAAATCGCGTCCACCATCGCGACCGCCCTCGTCCAGACCCTCGCCAATTCATTGTCCATGATTTGGAACCGCAAGCGGTGGACCAATAATGATGAATGTGTGTGCAGAATGGGGCTTGTCGAGAGCATTCGTCGCCTGTTGAGTCGTACTTACAGCAGGTTTCTTGAGCTGGTCCAGCACAGGCGGCGGAGGAGAGCCGCGCGGGCCGATGTGCCGCATGGAGCGCTGGAAGCTGGCATCCTCCCAGCCTTGGCAGACGGATGTCCCATGGAGGGCGAGTCCGACGACGACCCCGACGTCGCCGCCTTCATGGATGACAGCGGCGCTGGGCCGTCGGCTCCCGCAGGCGGCCCGCCGGAGGAGGCGGAGACCGATTTTGCCAGAAAGAATCGGATCTCGTGGGATCGTGTTGCTGACTGGCTGGAGAAGACGCCTCTTCGGGATTTAGTTGTCGCGCGGTTGGCGATGGAGCCTTGCGCGGCCCTCTTGAAGCGCCAGCTCGCTGTCGGCAGCGACGCTTTCGACCAGGGCGAGTGGGCTCGGTTTTTGAATCCTAGTTCTGAAGCTGCGCGAGCCCCCACGCAAACTCCGCGTTGGTGTGGTTGCGTCGGGAGTGATGGACATGCAGTTTTTTGAACACCATCGTTGTTTGATGACATCTGCTCGCTTGTGGTCCCTTATGCCACTTGACTGTATGACAGAGCACACGCGGCGTCTAGTGTTCAGGGTGTTCAGCATGATTGGTGCGGAGTACGAACGGCTGCTGGCGAGGCCCCACCGCAAAGCTCCATTCATGTTGTTCGTGTGCCTGATATCGCCCGCCGCCGCTGTCGATCTGAAGCGCATCAAGAGGACGCAGCAGTGCGTGCTTGACCGATTCACTGTCGCCTTCATGGAGACGTTTGACATCGAGAGCGCTGATGGTCGGGCAGCTCTCTTCACGGTGGCCTCGCTGACTCACGTGGACACTTCCCAGGTCGAGTGCATGCACGCGTACGTGAGGAGGATGGCCGCGCGCTTGGCCACGCAGGCGTCACCGCCAGACTTCGTGGACATCGCGTCGAAGTGCGTGGCGCGGAGGGCGCGTCGCAAGGCCGACGTGCACGGCAGCTGGATTGGCGCGTCGTCGCCGTCAGCCGAGGGCGGCGGTGGCGACGACGGGGGCGTCGAGCCGCCTGAGCCGAAGCCCAAGCGCAGGGCAACCCTCACCGAATGGCACGCTTTCTCCCGACGGAAGTTTCAGACTGCACGCGGCATGAAGTTCCACGCTGGGTTGTCGGATGAGTATCGGAACAGGACGCCCGATGAGGTTGTTGCGGACCAGGCCGCGCTGGCGGCAGTCAGCGAGCAGGGAAGGCCTCGCGCTGGCGCCTTTGGTTTGCGGGCCCGGGCCGCGGGCGCCGAGGCCATCCGCCAGAGGGCGGCTGCGTTGATCTGCACTGGTGACCGCGCTGTCGAGGGCGTCCTCGTGGCTGAGCGCCTGGGCCAAGCCCGCGGCAGCGATGCAGGCGCAGGCGAGGCGTCTTGCGCTGATGCGCGTCGCGTTGCTGCGCGCGCCAGCAGGCTCTTGGGCATCAGGCGGCGGGGGGCGCAGGAGGCGCGCGATGCCGCCATCGCCAGGTACGTCGTCGACAGCGGCCAGTCGATCGCCAACAGGGTGCGCGGCGCTCTCGGTGTCCAGCCGTGGTCAGCTAATTGCTGCAGCCTGCCCCTGTTGCCGCCCGTGGGCATCGGGCAGGCGCGACAGGTGCACATCGCCCCTGACTCCGCGTCGACCTCGTCGACTGCTCTGGCGCAGGCACCCCGCCCGCCGAGGTTCCTCGGCAAACTTGACGAATACATTCGGCAAGTGACGTTGCCCATGCACGACGACGAGTGGGTATACCCGATCTTGAAGGGGAGCGCTCGTGAGACGAATTGCTTCCTGGCTGGTGTGTGCATCTGCAGCAGAGAAGGCCGTCAACTGGCGAGGATCGCCCGTCGCTTTGTGTCCGCCCTGAAGCTTCTCTGCTAGGAGAAGACGCGTGAGCGAGACATGGCTCGTTCGGGCTATCTCGTGTGCAGGTTGGTGGGCATCCCTCGTGGGCGGTCCATCGCGGCCGACTGGCTCGATGACGACGGCGCGGGCGACGCATTCGTGGGGGGCGACGAGGACGGCGCGACAGTTGTCTTCTGGCAGCTGGCCGAGTTGGTGCTCAATCCCGACGTCCCCGTATTCCAACTCATGGAGGTCGTGGGCTTCGGACGCGGAGCTGCCGCTGCTGCGCGCGACGGCGAGGTCGCCCTCCAGGCTGCGCGCAGCGCGCGAGCACTGGCGGAACGTGCGCGCACCTAGGGGCCACGGTGAGGCTAGCCTATAGTTGCGTTGCGTTCAGCATTGCATTCGGCGGCGGCGATGGAGGAAGGAAGAACACAGGAGAGAATCCGTGACACCTCGCAACGACATCGCTACTGCGACGGGCCTTGAGCCACGCGGGGGTTGAGAGCAAACAGCGATAGGATGATGGGCAGCCTTGGGGTAGGCGGAGGCGGAGGAGTAGCGGAACTAATCGCTCTTGGGTGAGGGGGGGAGGGAGGTATTCCTTGGAATATCATAGGGCAGCAAGGCTATGCAACATAGGTTGTAGGAGGGGGAGGAGGAGGACCGACTTGCATTGCGTTGCCAGGCCCGAAGCAAGCACACTACCTACCCTATAACGCGTGAAGCACATGTGCCAGCATGCCGCGCGTGCAGGGAGGCCTCATGGGGCCCTGATGGAGGTGGAGGGGATGCACCAGCGGCAGGGGATGGTGGAGGATGTTGCAGAGGGTGGGGGGGGGGGGGGGGGGGGGGGGGTGGGGCGGGTGATGGTGATGAGGATGGCTGGGATGGCGCACCTATGATCGTTTGGCCGCGCCTGCGCTGCCAGCCCCGTTGGCGACGAAAGGAACGGCGCACTGCGGGGGGCAATCAGACGGTTCATGGGATGCATTGCGCCCATGTTGCGCGCCGCCATCTCGCCTAACCCGTCGATGCATGATTCGGCATTTCATGGCGAACGCTTCGCGGCGAACATGCGTGCGTGTCGCTTGTTCCCACCAGCTCATCCACGAACGATGCCCAGGCGGGCTTGCTTGATCCTCGAACCGAGTGGCTACGCATATGAACAAAGGGTCGGCGTACCGTCCTCCACCAAGAGGGAATGGGCAGATTTTGTTTATGACCGGCGCGACGCAGGGCACGCATTCGTAAACCTAATACTCAGCGCCCCCTGGGGCAACGAAGGGCACTCTGGGGGGCTCGGATGGGGAGTTATTTGAGCAGTTGCGTGGTCATGGCGAGCCACGTGGTGTCAGTTTCGCGGGTGTGCGCGGGTTCCGACGCGTTTGTCTTTGGTCAATTTGGGGGTCGGGTCGGGTTCAGAATATTGTTGCGGTCATCAGCCCTGCCGCACCTCGAGCTCTCGGCACCATTATCTAAACATGGTTGGGGCGTTCTTGGGCGATCCTGGGGGGTTCCGTGGAGGTGTCTCCGTTTTTCTTTGGAGCTACATTGGGCCATAGCGGAGCTACCTATCCACGACGGACGGACATTTGAATCAGCAGGGGCTGAGCGCATGCGTTTTGATTATTCCAACGTGTTTGGCCGTGGGTTCCGGATGGGGCCTCCTTCATGGGGCGCTATCGCCGCGCGGAGCTCCCGCGCGGCGATAGCGCCCCACGAAGGATGTCGCATCAGGGAGCTATGTTGTGCGTTCTGCTATGTGGTTGCACGTTGCGCGATTCCGTGGTTGCCCGACGTCGTCTTGGAGCCGTCGAGCATCATCGCGAGCGCCTGGACATGCTCGTGGGAGCAGGATTTGGGCAAAAGAGGAGGAAACGGCA